TCAGGGGAGCCAGGCTGGGGGCTCAGGGGAGCCAGGCTGGGCTGGGGGCTCAGGGGAGCCAGGCTGGGCTGGGGGCTCAGGGGAGCCAGGCTGGGCTGGGGGCTCAGGGGAGCCAGGCTGGGGGCTCAGGTGAGCCAGGCTGGGCTGGGGGCTCAGGGGAGCCAGGCTGGGCTGGGGGCTCAGGTGAGCCAGGCTGGGAGCTCAGGGGAGCCAGGCTGGGGGCTCAGGGGAGCCAGGCTGGGCTGGGAGACCACTCAGGTGAGCCAGGCTGGGCTGGGAGCTCAGGTGAGCCAGGCTGGGGGCTCAGGTGAGCCAGGCTGGGGGCTCAGGGGAGCCAGGCTGGGCTGGGGCTCACTCAGGTGAGCCAGGCTGGGGGCTCAGGGGAGCCAGGCTGGGCTGGGGCTCACTCAGGTGAGCCAGGCTGGGCTGGGGGCTCAGGTGAGCTCTGCAGGAGGGGACAGAAGAGGGGACAGGAGCAGCAGTGCCCAGCACACAGACTGAGACGCGGCAAACCATCCAGTACAGGGGTACCCAAAAATGTGGAGTTTTCCCTCAGAACCTCGAGGCACTTCAACAACTCCACGCCCTTTGGAAAATGGTCTGGCAGCCACACAAGGAGCAAGAGTAAATCCTCTGTGACCTGAAGAAATGGGGAAATGTCTTGGCCAGAGGGGAAAATACCAGCTGCTGTGGATCTTTACTGTTCCAAAGGAGAAGGTACAACCACTCAGTTCGGGGTTTATTTGAAACCCCGGTGTAAGGAATAACTTCCCCAAGTTGCTCCTCAAAAGTGTTCCTGTCCCTGTGGGAAGAGCTGATCCTGCTCCTGATGCCAACCTGTGCTCCTGGGAATGTATTAAGAGCCACAAGAGCTCAATTTTAGGAATGTTAAAGGTTCCTCTCTCACAGATTATTTCACACAGAACTGCAGAGGAGGCCCCGGAGCTGCTCCAGGGCTGGAGCCAGGCTGGGAGAGCTGGGAATGTTCCCCCGGAAAAGGGAAAATTCCAGGGAATGCTCAGAGTCCCTGGAGGTGTCCCCATGGCAGGGGTGGCTCTGGGTGGGATTTGAGGTCCCTTCCCACCCAACCCATCCCAGGGTTCCATGCCGTGACCTGAACTCCAGCTCCAGCTTGAAACACATCCACAGGAGAAGAGGTAATTCCATCCCCAGGAGAACATTCCAGAACTCTGCCTCTCTTCTCCTGCCACCCTCGAGGTCTCTAAATTAGCCCTCCAGCCTCGAGGTCTCCAAATTAGCCCGGTTAATTAATTCCCCACCAATGAATGCACGAGGGGGAGTGGGAGTTCACAGAGCAGCCAAGCTCAGCGCAGGAGGTGCTGGATTCTGGTTCTGTGCAAAGCTGGGGCATGCAGGGCCAGCCTCATCCCAGCTGACAGCATTTGCTGGTTATCAGGACGGGGTTGAGTCAGTTAAAGATATAAACATGCTCAGCAATCCAAAAAACATCTCCCAAGCAGCTCCTTAGCCATGAAATCCAGAGATATAAAGAGTTACCCACTGCAATTGAGACAGCACTTATGACAGCTCCCAAGTAGCCCTGGATGAACTTGGATGTCGGAGAAGGCTTTGGGAAGAAAAACAAAACATATTTTCAATAAACAAACTTCTGGTTATTAACATTCAACCCATTTTCCCCCCCATTTTTGTTTGTTTGTTTGTTTGGGTGTATTTGTTTTAGAGCACAGACAGGTTTAATTTCGTCATATTGTTCTGTGACACATGGGCTGTCATCCCAAGAGGCAAGAGCGAGGAAATCGTGGCCTCCTGAGCAAGGTTACAGGGAATGGAAAATTAATTGGCATCAGAAAATTATAATAATAGCAGCTCAAAGGAAGGATGTGAGTGAAATTCAGCAAATGGTACCAAATTAGCATTTCTAGCCTCGAGTGCTGAACCCCAAACTCACCACAGTCAATATTTTATCTGTGAAATGTGTTCTCAGTGAGCTGGATGGATTCCAGCTCCGCTTCCCACATCCCAACACGGGATGGAGGGAGGCTGAGGAGAAGGAAGGGGAGCAGGGACAGCCCCACAAGGATGGAGCAGGGACAGCCCCAGCACTTCCCACTGCCACCAGCATGAACAAAATCCTTGGGAGATGGGATCGTGGAGCTTCCTCCTGCTCCCCCAGCCCAGGCACCATTCTGCTCTGTGCCCCTTCAGATCCCAGTTCAACCATTCCAGACCAGCTGGGACCATGGATGGTTCAGCTCAAAGTCCGTGAGCCTCGTGTCTGTGCCTGGAGTGATTCCTCATGCTGTTACACTGCGTTTAAACACAGACAATGGCCACTCTAGAAATCCCCCGGTGGCCACCCAGAGGTTTCATGGCCAGGGAAGAGGCAGGATTGGTGTTTCTGTGTGGGAAGGCCCCGGGGCAGGCCCAGGGCTGCCTCGTGGCTGCGCGTGGGAATTGGCCAAGTTGTGACTCAAAATCAGATGGATTTTACCCCAAAAAAACCAGGAGTGAGTTTCAAGCCCTGGGAGTTGTGTGTTAACTTAGGGTGAGCTTGAGAACTCCCCCAGAAGCCTCCTAAGCAGTCCAAGTCCTGCTCCCCTATTGGCTGTGCCCTGTTGTGTATCCCCTATAAGTTATGCTAAATCCTGCTCCCCTATTGGCTGTGCCCTGTTGTGTATCCCCT